AAGTAACTTTAGGAAAACTCGCCATGACTGCTGGTTTTTGTGACAGGTTGATGAGTTTTATCGTGTTGACACAGACGGACCTGATGGACCTGCTGGACCTGCTGGATGAGTCCATAATCAATGAAATCTACACCAGAGCTCACGGTTGATTTGAACAAAACAAATAATATTTGTTAGCAGCTTAAAGTGTTCAGCTGTGATTGTAGCTGTTGTAGTTTAAAGGAGCTTTACAATAAAACATTTTCATTTCACCACCAACACTATTTATGGTGGGGATGGTGTGTTGCTGACCTCAACTCGGGACGTTGTGGGTCGGTGGGCAGAATAATTCGAAGACGTCCTCAATCCCAACTACACATTTCCCCATGAGGAGGCAGAGTCCGGGGACCCCGGGTCGGACTCTCCAATCTCGGGTGCCGAAGTCACAGAGGTGGTTAAAAAGCTCCTCGGTGGCAGGGTACCGGGGSTGGATGAGATTCGCCAGGAGTTCCTTAAGGTTCTGGATGTTGTGGAGGTGCATTGGTTGGTTGAAGCGACTCTACAATATTGTGTGGACATCGGGGGCAGTTCCCCTGGATCGGCAGACCAGGGTGGTGGTCCCCCTATTTAAAAAGGGGGACCGCAGAGTGTGTTCCAACTGTAGGAGGATCACACTTCTAAGCCTCCCTGGTAAGGTCTATTCAGGGGTCCTGGAGGAGGGTCTGTCGGATAGTCGAATCTCGGATTCAGGAAGAGCAGTGTGGTTTCCATCCTGGTCTTGGAACAGTGGACCAGTGCTACACCCTCAGCAGGGTCCTGGAGGGTTTATGGGAGTTCGCCCAACCAGTGTACATGTGTTTTGTGGACTTGGAGAAGGTGTTCGACCCTGTCCCTYGGGGACTCATGTGGGGGGTACTCCGGATGTATGGGGTACCAGGCCCATTGATACAGGCTGTTAGRTCCCTGTATGACTGGTGCCAGAGCTTGGTCCGCATTGCCGGTAGTAAGTCGGACTCGTTTSCGGTGAGAGTTGGACTCCGCCAATGTTTTCCTTTGTCACCGATTCTGTTCATAACTTTTGTGGACAGAATTTCTAGGAGYAGCCAAGGTGTTGAGGSGATCCTTTTTGGTGACCTCAGGATCACATCTCTGCTTTTYGTGGATGATGTGGTCCTATTGGCTTCATCAGATYGTGATCTCCAGCTCTCACTGGAGCGGTTCACAGCCAAGTGTGAAGCGGCTGGGATGAGGATCAGTGYCTCCAAATCSGAGACCATAGTCTTGAGCCCGAAAAYGGTAGCWTGCCGCCTCCGGGTCKGGGAGGAGGTCCTGCCCCAAGYGGAGGAGTTTAAKTATCTCRGGGTCTTGTTCACGAATGAGGGAAGAATGGAGCRGGAGATTGGCAGGCGGATTGTTGCTGCGTCTGCAGTGATGYGGGCGTTGTACTGGTCTGTCGTGGTGAAGAGAGCTGAGCCAGAAGGAGAAGCTCTCGGTTTACAGGTCTGTCTACATTCCTACCCTCATCTATGGTCAGGAGCTTTGSGTAGTGACCGAAAGAACGAGATCACAGGTACAAGCAGCTGAATGAAGCGGCTGTGGTAGAGTGGTTAGGGGAGTCGTCCTGGAACCAAAAGGTCGCCGGTTCGATCCCTGTCCAGTCGACTCAGTCGTTGTGTCCTTGGGCAAGACATTTCACCCGCCTTGCCTACTGATGGTGGTCAGAGCGTCCGGTGGCGCCTGTGTATGGCAGCCTCACTTCTGTCAGTGTGCTCTCCCTTAGGGATAGGCTGAGAAGCTCAGTCATCCAGGAGGGACAGACGGATGGACAGATAATTGTCAACAGTTTTTTTATATAGAGATTTTTGTCATTATGTAACAAGCTATAGTTCATATTTTAGTTTGAGTATCTCTGGACAGATTAATTTAGGAGCTGAAAGGCTGTGGACCCCGAGACAATCTGAGCACAAAAATAGTTTTATCCGGAGGAGAAGCACAGTCTCCGTGACAGCTGTGTTTATCTAATATAAGAGATGGGATTCCCCTTGTTTGAAAGGATAAGACATCCTGTTGTCTCTTCAGCTCATCCATGGCCTCAGTTAACTGAGTTTATTGATTTAAAACTTAAATTCTAATAAACTGATATTAATTATGTTTTTTTAACACTAACGTATAAGACAAACAGCTGAACAAACATTTAAAGTAATTTTTTACATAATGTCTGCAGCTCTGGTCCTGCCGGTCTGGTTCGGTTCGGTCCAGTTGCTGGTGTTTTCCCCCCGCCTCCGCGCAGGAAGTGACATCGGACGGTGTGGGCAGGCGGGTAACCATGACAACGGACCTGCTGGTGATGAAATGTTTGCTCTTCTCAGTGCATGAATCTCTGCAGCTCGTCTCTGTTGTTTTTACTCCTCTGAGTCCAATAACCACGGCAACCAAGGCGACACACACACACACACACACACACACACACACACACACACACA